TGTACGCAAAGCAGTCACAACTAGCTAACTGTACGTAAAGCAGTCACAACTAGCTAACTGTACGTAAAGCAGTCACAACTAGCTAACTGTATGTAAAGCAGTCACAACTGTATGTAAAGCAGTCACAACTGTATGTAAAGCAGTCACAACTAGCTAACTGTACGCAAAGCAGTCACAACTAGCTAACTGTACGCAAAGCAGTCACAACTAGCTAACTGTACGTAAAGCAGTCACAACTAGCTAACTGTACGTAAAGCAGTCACAACTAGCTAACTGTACGTAAAGCAGTCACAACTGTATGTAAAAGCAGTCACAACTGTATGTAAAGCAGTCAAAACTAGCTAACTGTAGTAGTTAGAACTAGTTAAATATATATAGTATAAAGTAACATTGAAGCATCAGTCACAGACTACTTTTATTACTATTATTATAACCAGTACTTTCACTAGATGAAGCTGGTACTTGTTTAATTTTTCTGCTGATACTTTAACTACATTTTGCTGTGAATACTTTTAGGATTTAAAAGCAGGGCTTTTTTTTTTTTGACTAATCCTGGGGTACTTTAACATTGTGGTCCTTTTACAGGAAAGACGTAAATATCTGGAAGCAAGCAGCAATCCGGTTTCCGTTTCATGGGAACTATAAAGGGTGTGAATACTTGTGTACTTTTACTTAAGTAGGATTTGAAAGCAGGACTTTTACAACTTTTACAGTGTTGTAGTTGTACTATATTTAAAGCAGTAAAAACTGGCTAACTGTATAAACTAACATTGGTGCTCCAATAATAATCTAATAACAGCCACAGAAGACATTTTGCAGCACAACCAGTACTTTTACTACGTAAAGCTGATACATGTACTGCTGATATTTTAACTAAATTTTGCTGTGACCACTTGTGTACTTTTACTTCAGTAGGATTTGAAAGCAGGACTTTCACTAGTCCTGGAGTACTTTAACATTTTGGTGTGCCTACTTGTACTTTTACTTAAATAAAAAGATTGTGAATAGGCCTACTTGTGTACTTTTACTTTATTAGTATTTGATGGCAGGACTTTTACTTGTCCTGCAGTACTTATTGGTACTTTTACTTATAAAAACGACGTGAATACTAGCAGCTCTCTCCAAAACAAAACGCGCCCCCCTCTCCCTCCATACATCCCCTCTCTCCCTCTCTGGCCCTCCGGAGCTCCGCACACAGCTCCGGGGGAAAGGGAGAGAAAAGCCCGGAGAACAGGCAGCACTCACCGGCAGCCAGGAGGACGAGGATCGTCCAGCACCGAGCCATCATCTGCGGGCAAAGTCAGCCGGGCAAACACACAGGCGTCGGGTCCGTCGGTCCGTCGCTCGGTCCTCGGCAGAGACGCTCCAGTAAGCAGAGAGAGAGTCCAGATGTTTTTCATCCAGATGCGGTTTAGCCCCGCCCCCCCCACAGCCGCTGCCTCTGTTTCCACTGAAGAGCTGCTCCACATCTGTCACTGCTGAGATACCAGGAAGTAACAGCGAGTCCTGCACTCAAAGTACACAAGTACTGCCTGCAGATTGTACTTAAAGCATCAAAAGTACAAGTACCTCAAGTGTCTGCTTAAGCGCAGTACTTGGTCTAAATGTACTTACATTACTGCGAGACACCACAGTCAAAAACAGGCTTTCCCACCAACTTTACCCAAATCAGAAGGAAACTTTACAAGCTGAAAGGAAACATAAATACAAGCTTTTTCTTAAAATGTTTATGTATTTTTATTTATATATTAATATACAAATGTACAAGGGCGTCACTTTGTTTTAAAGCGTGTTGGGGACATGCAGGCTCAGATTAGGGGTGTGAGGATGCACAATATTGGGTTCAGGAGAACAAGATGAGAAGATATATTTAACAGGATTTTCAAGAAACGTTCAGTGCTGAATGTGAGTCGGGGGTCTGGGAGACTTTCTGCACCAATTTCTGGAGGAAATGTCTTTAAAAAAATACAGCAGAACATAATGCAGGAATCAGCAGCTTCTTTTCTTTAGCAAAATATCTGTTTTTGACAAAGTTTCTTCTATATTTAATATGCATTACATGATGATAAACCTCTCAAAGCATTTTCATTTGTTAGGTTATTTAGTATTTCATGTCAAAAACTGTTTCAAAACTTTTTTTTAGAAATGCTTTCAAAAAGTGGTGGGGACATGTCCCCAGCTTCCCCAGTGTAAATAACACTTCATTATGTATTATATTTACGTTGACGCACATCTCTAAGAGTCAGATGCATTATTTTTGGCATTTGACATCTACAGAACAGTTTATCCAAATATTGTTTCATCGTGACTTTATTCAAATGATACCACTTGTGTGTGACGAACCCTTTTTCTCTCTCACGCTTTCATATTTACAGATAAAATGTCAAATGAAATGAGAATGATGAAATACATTTTAAAAAGAACAAAGTGTGTGAAGTTTTTTGTCACATGAACACATGCATTCATGTTATATTTTCTTATATAAACTTACAAATGATATATGATTCTAATACAGAGAGTTTTAAAAGAACTTTTAAAATACTAACAAAGATGAAATTTACATATATGGATGATAGACTTTGTAAATTTTATGAAAGTTTAATAATAGTTGCAAAATAACTAATCTGTAAATTGACAGATTGACGCAAAATCTCCTTAAGAGGTATTTAATTTGTATTAAAAAGTTTTCCAAAACTTCACTGCAAACGAAACAGATGCTTTTATGACTTATAAATGTTTTATTCATAGGTTGCTTTTATTTTTATTATTTCAAAATACAGTATTTCTATATAAGGATGTTTAATTCCAGGAGCAAAGAAAAATCCATTAATTAAACTTAATAAAACAATGCTTATGACATTTATTTATTTTTACCTTTTAATGAGTGGTAGATAGACATGATTTCATATTTTATGATTTTATTTGTTAAACTTGATGCTTTTTTCTTCTTATTATCATCAGCATGACTTTCTTAATGCAGTGTTTTCCGGTTCACAAGAATTCGCGCTGACAGAGACTGGGACTCTAACAGGCTTATTCCAGCTCATTAGGCAGATTATAATGAAAGTGATATGAGGGCTGTGCAGGAAAGCTGTGAGCAGTCAGTACACTACGTACTAAATACTGCAATAAAATATGTTTATAATTAATGTCACGCACCATTTAGTATTACGTCCTTAGACTTCTGTCAGCGTCCCTGTTTGACTTTAACATTAAATTATTAAATCATCCTTAACCTTTAGGATTAATTTATAATGTTTTATTTGATGTGTGTTTGACCTTCCTGCCCTCAAAACATCAACAACAACAAAAGGCGCTGAAATGATGGAGCACACATTCACACTGAGATTATTAAACCAACAGAGAAAGATAAAACTGACTCAATAAAAGTGTTAATAGAGACTAAAACCTCCGAGTCTCTTGAAGAAAAATATTTTAGTTTTGTAAATAAAATCTGTTTTGAGGTACTTTTCTTTTAGTATTTGTACTTTTCAGAGGTTCCTGCTCTTCATTCTGTGTGACGAATTTATAAACACAAACTATCAGCTGTGAAGTTAGTTTTTGATCCTGACTGACGGCTGATGGTCACAGTTTGATCTCTGCTGCCGCCTGCTGGCCACATGGTGCCACTACAGTCAGACTGAACTGGTCACATGACAAATGATCAGAAGACAGAAACTGTGCATAAAAACAATGAAAACAAAAATAATCAGCAGAAATGTAAAAGACATTAAAATGTTCATATTCACAAATGCATTTAATTTATTTGTAAATATGTTGATTTTATTCACAAATATGTTTTATTTGTGGAATTTCTGTTTAATATTTGCAAAGCTTTTGAGTACAAATCTTCTATTCGTGTTGTAATACTAATAGTGAGACAAAATGATCTCCATACAAAGGGTTCATTGGGAATTAACTGTTTCAGACAAATACATTTGCTAAAACATACAATTCTACTTTTTATTTTATGACAGCTCTTGTAAATGCAGAGAATAAATTAGCCTAATTAGCTAAATAGTTATTGAGTTACTCCATTTTATGTTATATCAATAATAACACTAACACGTTTGTTACCTATGAAATATTGTAATTCTTTAGAGATCCTTTAAAACATTTTTATTCTTTTATTCTGAAAAAAAGTAGTTATATTTGTTCAGTGAAGCTGCCTTTCAAAATAAAAGCACTGAATGTCCAGAGCTGCAGGATGTTTAGACGCTTTATGTTTACAGAATACTTTCATCTGCCTTGAACCATAAACACAAGGAAAAGTCTAAAACTGGTGTTTAGTCATTTTAATGAAGAGAAAAACTTTATCCACCAAATATGTTACAAATAATAAATATTTACATTTGCATTAAATGTTTTTCTATAATATATATTTACTCTTTTCCTGAATGAATTTACGATATTGACTTTAAAATTTTATAAAAACAAAAATTTATATATATATATATACACACACATACACTGCAACTAATAATTACCTTCATTATCAATCTGTCGATAATTTTAATCAGTAATCGATTAATCTTTAGTGAAAAATACCCATTGCAGTTTCCTGCTTATTTTATTCAGCCAACAGTCAGATATTCAGTTTACAGTTTAATTATAGTTAAATCTTATTGGAGGAGAAGCTGGAACTGGACAATGCGTACATAATTGATTAATAATTGGATCAATTTGTTGTTGGTCGATCAATCGATTAATCATCTACTTTATATTTAATGTTACATTTAAACTACATTTTTGAAAATATAGTACTTACAATTAACTGTGGTGTTATCCATTATTGACTTTATCTCTTTTGACTGTTATGACTGACTGTGATGAAATGGAAATTTGTTTTGATTAGAAAAAAACAAATTGTGATGATATAAAAACATTTGACACATGTGCCTTTTGTAATTTGTGAAGTATTTGTCTAAATGTATTTGGTGTGATGATGGCGCTTTTATTCTGAAATAATTGTGCCGGAAGTACTAGTGTTGTTTCCGCCGGTGGAAAATTTACATAACGTATATAAAGTTTATATCAAGTTAATGTTTGAGTGCAACTAAAACTTAAAGCAGATAAATTGACCCGGGGTCTGGTGCGTGGCTCCTGCAGCAGATGCCCGCAGGTCTGCAGGCCGTCTGAGAGCAGCTGTCGGCGGGACCACAGCCGGACTGTGACCGCGGACCTCTGGACTCTGCAGCCGTGAAACCTCCGCAGCTTTCCTTCAGTTTCTGCGTGCAGACATGAAGAGGAGACTCCTGCTGGTGTCCAACTCCACCCTGCACGGCAGCGGGTACCTGGACCACTGTCAGCACCACATCTCACGCTTCTTCGGAAAGTAAGTTCAGTGCAGAAAGTTTCTCTTGTACGTCGGCAGCGAATTCTATGCAAAATTCGAGCAATTTAAAATAATCATCGGCAAAAACACGTACGTCTCTGCAAACATGTTTAATAACCCTGCTTGAACCAGTAGTCGTGTGATAGGATCAGAACACAAGCAGCAGTTTAAGAGTCACATTTTAATAGAAACAAAAAAATCTTCTGAAAAGATCTGAAGTCATGTTGTAGAAGGTTTGCATTAAATGCTTAACGATCGTTAAAATGCTTGATTTTGTAAATAGAGTTTGGTGTGGAAGTGTGACTAGAACACTTTAAATCAGTAGTCGTGTGGTTATAACGGAACACAAGCAGCAGTATCAATATTTTTATTTGAAAAAACAAAACCATCTTTAACGTCTGAAGTCATGATTTGTATTAAATTAAATTCTTAACGTTTATTAAAATGCCCGATTTTCTAATGGAGTTTGGTGTGGAAGTGTGACTAAGACTAACCCATTTAAAAAGTTTGATTAAATCTCTGATAACAAATGTCTCTATGAACATGTTTAGTACTTCTGCTTAAGATCAGCACACAAGCAGCAGTTTAATATTCATATTTTAATACAAACAAAAGAAATCTTATGAAAAAATATGAAGTCATGTTGTAGAAGGTTTGTATCATTAAAATGCCAGATTTTTCAATGGAATTTGGTTTTGAAATCCGTCTAAAACCATCAGCATTTAAAAAGTATGATATGCTTCATGGCTGATGAATCTCTAAATAAAAACATCAGTTGTCGTGTGGGAAAGTTACAAGCAGCAGTTTATAATGCATATTTTAACCAAAAATCTAATTAAAATGCTCGATTTTTCTATGGGGTTTGGTGTGGAGAGACGTGAGCTTGTAAAATCTGACCTTGAAGTGAAACTAGAAGGCTGTTAAATGAAAGGAAACAGTTTTAAAGTTTAATCACTCGATGCTGACATCATGAAGTCTTCTGTGACCTTTCCCTCTGTTTTAATGCCAGTCAGTGTTTTCTGTGTTTCAGAGATGTGAAGCGGGTGCTGTTTGTGCCGTACGCTCTCCACGACAGGGACGCCTACACCAAAACCGCCAGAGACAAGTTTAAGACTCTGGGTAAGTCTGTGTGTGTCACATTATCAAGGGCAGGACGTACTCTTTCCAAATATTCACCTTCTATAATCATTCATAAACATAAGTATTACTGGATGAAGCGTCATGTATATTCTGTGTAGTTTTTATAGTATATGTAAAGATATTCTGCTACTTTTTAGGCATTTTCTACACATTTTTCTGTATAATTTTTGCAAGCTTTGATATATTTCAGTATTTGCATACATTTGAGTTGTGAGTTTATGAGACGCATCCAGCTGAATCTAATGCAACACAACAGCCCTGCGTTGAATCTGACATTTTATTCTTACTGAAAGGTGTTTCTGCTAAATATTGTTTTTAAATATTAGAAACTTTCATTATAAATCCAGTTTATCAGCAGCACAAACGTCGTAACCTTCATGGAGGAGGAGTCACTGCAGGACAGTCTGTGTACATTTCATGTGGCGTGTTTGGCCCCCGCAGGTTACGAGGTGGACGGCATCCACGAGGCCCCGGACCCCGTCGACGCCGTCCGGAAGGCTGAGGGTATTTTTATAGGTGAGGAAAAACAGGTTTACACAAATAACAGAACCCAGGTTTCATGTTAGTCCCTTTGCTAAAAGGTAACTATTTTTCAACATGGACCCTGTTAAACTTAATTTCTGTTTTTATGAGTGGAGTCTGGTGATATAGTGACTTTCTGGTTAAACAAAAATAATCTTACTCTTTAAAAAAAAGCCATAATGCTGTCAGACACTTGTAAGAACAATCCGAGCCTGTCGGCGGCCAAAAACAACCCCATAGTGGACAAACTTTGATGCAAGGATTACGTTACAGCCCCGTTTCACTGCTGCCGACCGCAAAAATACCAACGTTGCCCTTTAAGATCGAATTTGTTATGAGACATTTTTAATTATAAACCACCCCTGACCTGTGGATCTGATCTGCACACGGTGTAGATACAGAATACAGGTTTAACTGGAAACAGGGGTTTTGGGCCCAAACGCAGACAACATGAACGTGATTCATTACAAAAAGAGAGACTTACAGCTGACATGAGGTGAAGCAGGCAGTCTGAGCAAAAACACAGTGTCCACAACAAGCACGAGGAGGTGACCGTCCACAGGGAGACAACCACTTTATACGCACAGCAGAGGGTAACACGGCACAGGTGAAGACCGTCAGGGGAATGAGACAGGTGCGCAGGAACACAAGACAACGACACGGGATGCAGAAACCTACAAAATAAAACAGGAAACACTGAAAACACTCACCCACCACACCAGAACTGTGACACATGTTGGATGTTTGTTTGCAGGGGGAAACATTCAGAGACTAATTTCACACTTTGTTTTGCCTTGTGGGAGGAGACAGAATTTATTATAAAAATAGAAACTCAAAGGCTGAAAGAGTTGCTGCTGCAGCTGACTGACAGCTGTGATTTCTGTCCTCGTTTCCCATCGTTCCATCCTCCTTTCCATCCTTGCATCTTTTCTTTCAGTGTGGTTTCCTCCCCCCAAACAATCCCTCCTCTCTCTGTCGTTTAGATATAAATGTTAATGTATTGTTTTGTAGGAGGAGGAAACACTTTCCGGCTCCTGAAGAGTCTCTATGACAACAAGGTGGTGACGGAGATCCGGAGGAGAGTCCTCGAGGTGACGCACAAACACACGATATATTAGCTCACTGCGGATTTATCTGTTTATATGTCAACTGATTAAAATGCCTGAGACGTGTTTTGAAGCTGTCGCTGCTCAGAGCAACAGCAACGCAGAGCTGGACGACTGGTTTCCTGCTCTGACGCCATCACCTAGTTTATAACCAGACGCCCGGTGTGACAGAGAGCTGACAGCAAATGTAGAAAACAAAACTGAAATCCAGGGTTGGGTATAAAGAACTGCTTCCAAGTTGGAAAAGTTACCAAATTTCCAAGAACCGTGGATTCATTAAGCCCCGTGTGTTTGTATTCTCGGTTCCTGACTTCCTGCATATCTCAGCTCCTGACTGAACTGCAGTGAGCGTTTTACAGTCCATCAAAGTGTCTCCTATCTGCCAGCAGCTGCTACACCGACCTAACATCACCTCATGTGTTAAGTCAATAAAGCCTGAAGAAGAGAGTCCTTCTGTTCTCGGTCCTGGACCGTGGCGGACTGCGGCAAACGCTCCAAAGTTTGGTTTAGCTTCACTAACAAACTGCACCAGCTGCAGTCAGGAGGTTTGGTGCGAGGGAGGAAGCAGCTCCGACATGACGAAGCGTTTCCTACAGCACGGTGTGAATCTGAAGGAACGCTTCACCGTGTTCAACGTGTCACGCTCTCCCGGCTACAACGACGCCCCAGATCCAGCTAACGCTAACAGTAGCAACGCCTCATGTCCAAAACACAGGTGAGCAGACGTTCACCTTTTATACTGAAGGGAAACCGACGATGGCTACAGATGAGACGAGTCCCAGAGACGCCGCTCTAGGACAGAGACTCACTTTAGAGACATGAAAGGGAGGACAGACTGACTCGGACTGACTCAGACTGACTGACTCAAACAGACTCAGACTGACTGACTCAAACAGACTGACTGACTCTGACTGACTCTAACAGACTGACTCAAACAGACTGACTCAAACAGACTCAAACAGACTGACTGACTCTGACTGACTCAAACAGACTGACTGACTTGGACTGACTCAAACAGACTAACAGACTGACTCAAACAGACTGACTGACTCAGACAGACTCAAACAGACTGACTGACTCGGACTGACTCAAACAGACTGACTCAAACAGACTCAAACAGACTGACTGACTCAGACAGACTCAACAGACTGACTGACTCGGACTGACTCAAACAGACTGACTGACTCGGACTGACTCAAACAGACTCAAACAGACTCAAACAGACTGACTCAAACAGACTGACTGACTCAGACAGACTCAAACAGACTGACTGACTCAGACTGACTCAAACAGACTGACTGACTCAGACTGACTCAAACAGACTCAAACAGACTGACTGACTCTGACTGACTCAAACAGACTCAAACAGACTGACTGACTCGGACTGACTCTGACTGACTCTAACAGACTGACTCAAACAGACTGACTGACTCGGACTGACTCAAACAGACTAACAGACTGACTGACTCAGACTGACTCAGACAGACTGACTCGGACAGACTCAAACAGACTGACTCGGACAGACTGACTCAGACAGACTGACTCGGACAGACTCAAACAGACTGACTCGGACAGACTGACTCGGACAGACTGACTCGGACAGACTGACTCGGACAGACTGACTCAAACAGACGCAGTCTGTCGTGAAAAAAATTACACCATACAATATAACGATCACAGGGTAAAAGTGAACCACCGCATCCCCCTACAATTGAGACAAAAGACAACGATATTAAGGATCAACATTGTTCCTGTACAGCTGGTCGGCCTCTGTTCATTATTGTTATAGATCATTAAAAAGCAGAACAGCAGGACTTTATTAGTTGCATTCAGCAGGAAGTTAGCTTGCGTTAGCTAACTAAAATCACATTTGGAACGATCCACAGCCGACATTTATCTGGATTTATTTTAGGTTTTGGAAAGAGAATAAATCGTACTTCTCCTTTCAGCCTCTCTGGGTAGCTGCTGTAACTATTACAAGATGTCTCAGGAACAGCGTTTGAACAGATCTTAGAAAAATACGGCAGAAGAAATCTGGTCAATTCTAAGAAAATCGATAGATTTCTAGACAATCCTAAAGTGATACATCTCAATTTCTTTCTAACTATGAATACAAAATGCACGTAAAAAAGTTCAATCCAAACTGTTAGAAAATTGCACAATTCTGCTGCTCACGCTTTTCAGTCTGTAAATTAAAACTACAGAGCAGCTATGAAACATTATTATAAAAACATTTCTTTATAAAAAAGCAAATTCACTGAATTTAGTCTATTCTGTACATCACATTATATTGATAACTGTTCAGTGACACAGCGTTGTGCTGCCCTTTCAGCACCTACTGATACCTGTATTTTTAGGCCAATGGGAATTTGGGTTTGAGTTTTGACCCTTTGCTGTAGCTGGTCTGAAGCAGCAGATCAAGCCAGTGAAGTTAGCAGCTCTTTTTTATTTCACACAGAGCTCAGGAAGCATACATACTTTAAGTATTTGCACAGTGTGTCTCAGGATGTTCAGCAATGCTAATGTTCGCTAGCACGTCAATGGAGATTCTCATTATACATTAGCACTGAGCTAACCGTCAAAGCTCTATTTATTTTATGTATCGATATGACGGGCTGGAATATCGATACAGTATCATGGAAAATGTATAACGATATTTTGCTGTATTGATTTATTGGCACACCCCTAGCGATGAGGTGACGTCAGCCTCCTCATCGCTCCTCACACAGCTGTTTCTTCACGTTCAGCCACACGACAGCGTTTATTCATCAAGTCTGTTTCGTCCTCTTCAGGCAGGAAACTCTTTAAAAAAAAAGAATTTCCATTCCATCCTGTTTCCTTCACTCCCTTCTTCTTTACACCCCTCCATCCTTCCCTCCTCCTCCTCCAGGACGGCGTCCCCTACATGGGCTCCAGTGCCGGCACCAACGTGGCCACCGTCAGCATCAACACCACCAACGACATGCCCATCGTCTACCCTCCGTCCTTCTCCGCCATTGGCCTCGTCCCCTTCAACATCAACCCGCACTACCTGGACCCCGACCTCAAAAGCCGCCACATGGGGTGAGTCAGAACCTGCAGTGATGCGTAAACAACCCCGTCTCTTTGTATTAGAGGACTTCTTGGGTCAGAGGAGACGATCAGTGTCACTTCAAAGACCACATGAAACTAAAAGGACTAGTTTACGTTTTTCAATAATCCTCTCATGCCCACGTTCACATTTACAGATTATTCAGTCCCTCTGAGATTTCGCCATCGCAGCTATCAACACAAATTCAACAAATCTCTGTGAATTCAGCGAGACTTTTCTGCAAACCTGAGCTCTCATCGCCGTTTTCTGCAAAACGTTGTCACACGTCGGTAAACTCACTTCCTTGTTTAGAAGACGCAGCAGACGTGTGTGACACCAACGTCTCACGTTTACCTACTACAATAACAGCAGAGGGCCGTGAAGACCAGGATCCAGATCTTCTTAACCAAAGCGGGGAAGCTGTTCTGCAGAACGTGCAGCAGTGAGGTCAAACATAAAGAAAATCGTCTACTGAAAAAACATGCGGAGAAATTGTCAGAAACACATGGAGGTGACACAGGCTGCTGCATCCCGGTCAGCTGCAGGAAAGAATCAAGGTCAGATGGTTTAAATATGCAGGTCAGGGTTAATGATTCAACTACAATCCTAAAGATAATTCCCACAATTTCATCACAAAAACATCACAACTTTCATCACAATATCTTAGAAAAGCTGCTGCAACAATCACAAAAAAGTCCCTCAAGATTCTGAATAATGCGCATCTGCAGATTAATGCGCATTTGCTGTTTTCATTCCTGACCATCAGTGGTGGAAAGTAACTGAGTACATTTACTTAAGTACTGTCTGTAAGTACAAGTTTCAGGTACTACATTAGTCTTTACTCCACTGCAGATAAGATTGTACATTAACCAAACAATCGATAAGCTTGTAAGATATAACGTGTTATCAAAGCTTAAACCTCCCAGTTTGTCTTGAGACCTTTTCCTCTGAGTTCAGAGTCTCTGAGTTGTTGTCAGAGAGACGTTCCTCGTCTAAACTGATCACATGGTTTCATTTCAATAACTGTTCAAATGATCGCTAAAAATCAAATATCCAAAAACTGAAAACATATTTGTGAACCAGAACTTTGTTAATTAATCAGAACCAGTGCTTTAACTACATGAAGCTGATAGTACTTGTGTTGGATTTCGAATGCAGGACATTTTCTTGAAATGGAGTATTTTTACATTTTAGAAATGGTAGTTTTACTTAAGGACATAAGTGTTTCGTCACTGAGCTGCAGCAGCAAGAGTGAATTTTGTCCTGATATAAAACACAGTCCGTTTATAAAAAGGAAACTTTGCTGCGTAGATAAGGACGTAGTAAAACACTGGCGTCTTTGTCTGGCCGGCTGATCATTTGCCGTATCAGTCACCGACCTCTTTAATCTTTCCGTTATCGTCGTCCAGACTTTAACGTCAGTGACTGCAGGTTGTCTCTTTTTGTTCACCACAGCAGTTTTTCACAGCTTCACATGTTGCAGAACTTCCTCAAGCAGGAAAACAACCAGAGATGCACCGTCAGCAGTCCCGGGCGTCTGACGTGTGGAGGTTTTTATTTAACAGTCCCACAATCCCTTGCTGCTTTACGTCTCTGCACATGCTGTTATCTTACTGAAATAGGATGTTTTCTGATGAGGGCTGCAGCTAAATGCTGTAGTGTCCTGTCCACAGTGTGTGGTGTGCGAGGGCGCCACCTTGTGCTCATAGTGGGTTATTTATTATCATATTATTATGATAAATATAATATTATAAGAATTCTGAGGGTCCTCTTCTGTTCAGCTTGGAAAACTGATACAAAGCACAGTACAGCAGTGTTTTCTGTCCTGCATGTCAGTGGACAGAAGTGTATTATTACCCCAGCTGTACTGTATGTGAGGACAGTTTTGCGGAACTTTACTTGAGTATTTACATGTACAGTATCTCACAAAAGTGAGAGTACTGCTCACATAGTTGTAAATATCTGATTAAATCTTTTCATGAGACAACTCTGAAGAAATGACCCTTTGCTCCAGTGTAAAGTAGTGAGCGTGCAGCTCGTAGAACAGCGTAAAGTAGCGAGCGTGCAGCTCGTAGAACAGTGTAAAGTAGTGAGCGTACAGCTTGTATAACAGTGTAAAGTAGTGAGCGTGCAGCTTGTATAACAGTGTAAAGTAGTGAGCGTACAGCTTGTAGAACAGTGTAAAGTAGTGAGCGTGCAGCTTGTAGAACAGTGTAAAGTAGTGAGCGTACAGCTTGTATAACAGTGTAAAGTAGTGAGCGTGCAGCTTGTATAACAGTGTAAAGTAGTGAGCGTACAGCTTGTATAACAGTGTAAAGTAGTGAGCGTACAGCTTGTATAACAGTGTAAAGTAGTGAGCGTACAGCTTGTATAACAGTGTAAAGTAGTGAGCGTACAGCTTGTAGAACAGTGTAAAGTAGTGAGCGTACAGCTTGTAGAACAGTGTAAAGTAGTGAGCGTGCAGCTCGTAGAACAGCGTAAAGTAGCGAGCGTGCAGCTCGTAGAACAGCGTAAAGTAGTGAGCGTGCAGCTCGTATCACAGCGTAAAGTAGTGAGCGTGCAGCTCGTAGAACAGTGTAAAGTAGTGAGCGTACAGCTTGTAGAACAGCGTAAAGTAGCGAGCGTGCAGCTCGTAGAACAGCGTAAAGTAGCGAGCGTGCAGCTCGTAGAACAGCGTAAAGTAGCGAGCGTGCAGCTCGTAGAACAGCGTAAAGTAGCGAGCGTGCAGCTCGTAGAACAGCGTAAAGTAGCGAGCGTGCAGCTCGTAGAACAGCGTAAAGTAGCGAGCGTGCAGCTCGTATAACAGTGTAAAGTAGCGAGCGTGCAGCTCGTATAACAGCGTAAAGTAGCGAGCGTGCAGCTCGTAGAACAGCGTAAAGTAGCGAGCGTGCAGCTCGTAGAACAGCGTAAAGTAGCGAGCGTGCAGCTCGTAGAACAGCGTAAAGTAGCGAGCGTGCAGCTCGTATAACAGCGTAAAGTAGTGAGCGTGCAGCTCGTAGAACAGCGTAAAGTAGCGAGCGTGCAGCTTGTATAACAGCGTAAAGTAGCGAGCGTGCAGCTTGTATAACAGCGTAAAGTAGTGAGCGTGCAGCTCGTAGAACAGCGTAAAGTAGCGAGCGTGCAGCTTGTATAACAGCGTAAAGTAGTGAGCGTGCAGCTTGTATAACAGCGTAAAGTAGCGAGCGTGCAGCTCGTAGAACAGCGTAAAGTAGCGAGCGTGCAGCTTGTATAACAGCGTAAAGTAGTGAGCGTGCAGCTTGTATAACAGTGTAAAGTAGTGAGCGTGCAGCTCGTAGAACAGCGTAAAGTAGCGAGCGTGCAGCTTGTATAACAGTGTAAAGTAGTGAGCGTACAGCTTGTATAACAGCGTAAAGTAGCGAGCGTGCAGCTCGTAGAACAGCGTAAAGTAGCGAGCGTGCAGCTCGTAGAACAGCGTAAAGTAGCGAGCGTGCAGCTCGTAGAACAGCGTAAAGTAGCGAGCGTGCAGCTCGTAGAACAGCGTAAAGTAGCGAGCGTGCAGCTCGTAGAACAGCGTAAAGTAGCGAGCGTGCAGCTCGTATCACAGCGTAAAGTAGCGAGCGTGCAGCTTGTATAACAGCGTAAATCTGCTGTCCCCTCAAAATAACACATCACACAGTGTATGTGAAAGTGAAAATGTCCAAATTGGGCCCAATCAGCCATTTTCCCTCCGCGTTGTCATGTGACCTCGTTAGTGTTACAAGGTCTCAGGTGTGAATGGGGAGCAGGGGCCTGGGCCACGAAGCAGGATTTGAGCTTGTCCAGGTAACTTCGGGGTTAACCCTGCTGGGTTTTCAGCACCACGACGGTGGTTCACTTCTTACTGGGTAGATCTCCATGGTAACTGATGCAGAGCGGCTAACCTGCCCCGGAGCAGGTTATGTTCCAGATAAGAGATCAACGCTGTGAAAACGCCGCCTACTGACCAATCAGCTCTCTTGGAAAATGACATCACGATCTGTAGGAAATCCCACAGACTGTTTTAGCCAATAAGCTGCTTTATGTTTGCAGCGGTGATGTGGAGAAACTCTTGACTATAACGATATTATCCTACAGAGACTGATTAAAAGCTCTTAAAAGGCTGTTGTTGCCTACAGGTTTTTACAGCAGGATCAGCCTACTTACTGCTTTCAAATGTGTTTAATATTTTTTATTTGCTCTCAGTCTGTTTCACACACCCTGATGCAGCCGTTTAAAATAAATGTTTTATTTGTCTAATGTGAGACTGAATATTATGAGCAGTTTGGTAGGGATATTGAAATAAATTTTAATATGCTATTTATTTTAGGTCAGTAGACTATACTACATTTTAATATGGCTTTCTTAGGCCTACTACAGAGACTGTAGTCATGTTCCTCCCACCTGTGGGTGCAAAAGGTGGGACGGTGAGTTTTCAGCAGCCTAAATGTTGAGATTCAGTCTTTCAAACATTATTTGAGCACATTTTATGGCATGAATGGAGTTTTTGTTTCATTGCTTTATGAAGTTAATTTAGAACAATGTTTGGACACTTTTGAGTGTGTTAAATAAATTAATCTCATTTTTGAAGTGACAACAAGTTTTTAAAGTGAGTTCGAACGACCACGTCTTCAGCGCCCGAGCCTTTTAATGTGGAAACGCCGACACAGCCGAGCTGAAAGAAGAACGCTTAACACATCAAATCAATGCAATATTATAGACTACGCCTGTTCATTTAGGCATTCACACTGATTTTATGTGTCCCTGCATGTGTCAGATGCAGCCGTGCTGCTTAGACCAGGTCGTATTTCTGTTGTGTCACAGTTGACGCTCTGCTGCCAGTAGACTTGTTCATGTCTTTGATTGGTCTGTTGACTCTGCCTCTTTGATGTGAACGCGCTCCCGGCTGGATTGGGAAACCCTGGGTTGAGTTAGCGAGTTGATAACCAGCTTCGGTGTTATCGCTCTCACACTCCCTCATCCTGGTCACTGGAAGTTCAACATGGCAAAGAACTCTCTGAGGATCTGAAAAAAAACGGCTGCTCTACATAAAGATGGCCGAGGCTGTAAGAAGACCCTGAAACTGAGCTGCAGCACGGTGGCCAAGACCATACAGCGGTTCAACAGGACAGGTTTCCACTCAGAACAGGCCTCGCCATGGTCAAACAAAGAAGATGAGTGCACGTGCTCAGCGCCATATCCAGAGGTTGTCTTTGGGAAACAGACGTATGAGTGCTGCCAGCATTGCTGCAGAGGTTGGGGGGTCAGCCTGTCAGGGCTCAGACCGTACGCCGCACACTGCATCAAACTACACGGCTGTCATACGAGAAGGAAGCCTCTTCTGAAGATGATGCACAAGAAAGCTGCAAATAGTTTGCTGAAGACAAGCAGACTGAGGACACGCATTACTGTTATTTATAAACCTTTGTTTAAACAGGAAAAGTCCCATTGAGACACAGTCTCTTAGTGAATGATGAGGCCATTAGTTGTGTTTATCATGATAGAAATATATTTTTATGAAACATCCCTAACGCTGTGTGTATGATGTTGTTGCAGGAGACCAGAGAGCAGAGGATCACCCAGTACCATGAAGAACCTGATACTCCTTGTGTCCTGGTGAGTTTTGTTGTCTCGGTCCAGTCGGCATAATGCAGCTTTGCAGAGTGCTAATACTCGCACTATTGCAGCCTTTACAACCACCGCTAGCGCTACTGCAGCCGTTACAACCACCGCTAGCGCTACTGCAGCCGTAACAACCACCGCTAGCACCGCCAGCGCTACTGCAGCCTTTACAACCACCGCCAGCGCTACTGCAGCCTTTACAACCACCGCTAGCACCGCCAGCGCTACTGCAGCCTTTACAACCACCGCTAGCACCGCCAGCGCCACTGCAGCCTTTATAACCACCGCTAGCGCTACTGCAGCCGTAACAACCACCACTAGCGCTACTGCAGCCGTAACAACCACCGCTAGCACTGCCAGCGCTACTGCAGCCGTAACAACCACCGCTAGCACCACTGCAGCCTTTACAACCACCGCTAGCACCGCCAGCGCTACTGCCGCCGTAACAACCACCGCTAGCACCACTGCAGCCTTTACAACCACCGCTAGCACCGCCAGCGCCACTGCAGCCGTAACAACCACCGCCAGCACCACTGCAGCCTTTACAACCACCGCTAGCGCCACTGCAGCCTTTACAACCACCGCTAGCACCGCCAGCGCCACTGCAGCCTTTACAACCACCGCTAGCACCGCCAGCGCTACTGCAGCCGTAACAACCACCGCTAGCGCTACTGCAGCCGTAACAACCACCGCTAGCACCGCTAGCGCTACTGCAGCCGTAACAACCACCGCTAGCCCCGCCAGCGCTACTGCAGCCGTAACAACCACCGCTAGCGCTACTGCAGCCGTAACAAGCACCGCTAGCGCTACTGCAGCCGTAACAAGCACCGCTAGCGCTACTGCAGCCGTAACAAGCACCGCTAGCGCTACTGCAGCCGTAACAACCACCGCTAGCACCGCTAGCGCTACTGCAGCCGTAACAACCACCGCTAGCACCGCCAGCGCTACTGCAGCCGTAACAACCACCGCTAGCGCTACTGCAGCCATAACAACCACCGCTGTTTTGTCTTTGTCTGTGTGAGCGCGCTGAGAAGGCGACTCGCCAGCGTTTATTAGAGAATTTGTGGTCATTTAATTTTGTGCATTTTCAGGGTCTGAGGGAGGGATCCCTGCTGCTGGTGGAGGGCGACAAAGCCACACTACTGGGAACCACCAAGGCCAGACTCTTCACCCGGTAACACACACACACACACAGAGTGCATGGAGAACCTGACAGCACACCAGTAACACCAGTAACACCAGTAACACCAGTAACACCAGTAACACCAGTTTTGTGTGTTTTAGGGGGAAGCCCACAGTGGAGTACGACCCAGGTAGTGACCTCAGCTTCCTGCTCACACGTTGACCAATCAGAGGGAAACAGGAAACAAGTGCCAGTGTCTCACCCTTTCACAATATTGTTGTGGATGAATGTTGTGGTTGAAACACAATAAATATTAAAAGTCCACGGCGTCTCTGTGAAGATGTTTTCTGTTAGTGTGTCAGACACTTAACAGCTGTGCATGTACTGAGACGGTTAGATATAAATATGTACAATTATGGTACTTTTCTAACTTACAGAGTGCTTCAACAAAATGTCAAACACCAAGTTATTACGGTTACGTAAGCATTAAGTTACACGTATGCATCGCAGAGAGCAGCTAACGTTAGTCTCGTCTCTTCTTCAGTCTTGTAAGAATTTATTTTACTAATATATAAGTGGACAGTGTCGTTAACACCATCTGTGACTTCTGTCATGTATTTCTGATCAAGTTAAAAATAACAAAATCAAGACAAAAGAGAGAATAAAATGTGAACAAATCAGTTTATTTCAGCTCAAAAGGTGAAATCATCTCTTTAAGAAATGTGTTGATTGTTATTCTCTAGGTGAAAGAATACATACATCAAAAATAGTCCATATTTTCTCGAGGCAGAAAGAAAGAGACAGTGTTAGTATTAAATATAAAACAGACACACACCAGCAGGACCGACTTCAAATCACTGATTAGCTCTGTCTGATTTTATTTCAGAGACTTTCCCAAACCTTTTCTTTAACTGTTCCTGTTCAAAGTTTAACAGCTGTCCTGAGAAGTTACCACGAATGTTTAATAAATCGCTTCTTTTGTTGAATATTTTTGGGGGTGACTGAGTTGAAAGTGAATTGACGTCGGTCCTGCTGAACCCTGCAGACGAGGGAAAAGCTCTCTGCCAGTTCAAACTCCGACGTCTTCAGAAATATCTTTATAAAACAGAGTCGGGACGCACAGATGCTCCTGAGACCAGTTCTCCTTTATCACCTTTCATAAACGCAGCAGACCCTTAAAAAATGTCTCAGGGCCACAAATCTGATCAAATCTCTCCCACACAGCTGAGCTGAGCTACTGAGAGTTAAACTAAATATTTAAAATAAATAACAGCTAAAAGTGTTTGTTTTAAACTTTGCTGCTATAGAGAAAGTTTTCAGGGCCTTTAAAGGAATAATTAACATTTTGGGAAAAACTCTCACTTTCTTGCTGAGAGTCAAATTAGAATATCAAAACTCTTTAATATGAAGCTCTATCAGCACATGGTTAGCTTAGCTTAGCATAACGACCACGACCACATGGGATGAATGTATTTAGTATTTCAGGACCCATAATTATGTTTTTTATTGCAGCGACCTATAGCAGTCTGGTGATGTATTATTAGTGAGAAAGTCCGCATAAGGAGGTGGACGGGTAAAATCCAGGACTTTCACACAGGAGAACGACTTTCAAGTCCCGTGTAAAACCAAGTAACTGTTGAGGTATAGAGCGCCCAAGTCCATGGGACCTTATTTCGGGAAAAATATGTACGTATGTATGTCAGCGGTGAGAGACATCTTATTTTTGAATTACACACGTTGTTTGTCAATTTAAAAGATAATTTTGTTGTTAAGAAAGCTGCAGTTTTTCATTAGACAGTAAAGTTACACGTTGTTTTGTGTGAAAACGGTTCAATGAACTACATTTCTCGTCTTGCACAATATACGTCACCAACATGTTAGCGCGGTAATGTTAAGCTAACGTTTATTGCTTGGTTGCTGCTAGCTAAATAACCATGTTACACGCAGAAATATCTCACCTGATCCAACGACTCTCGGTCCTTTTATCACATAATCCTGTCAGTTCTTTGACGTTAGCTTCAGTAACGTTAGCTTCAGAAACGTTAGCTTCAGAAACATTAGCTTCAGTCATGGAGAGAAAAGGTTATGACGTGACATATGCAACTTTTGGGTTTGGGGTCTTTGTAATTATGTATTTTCAGTCTTATACTTCAACAGTTTTACATCAAACTGCGACTTTTTTGACTTTGAAATATACATTTTAAACTGACAAACAATCGTGTGTAATTCGGAGCACAATTCAAACGGGATGAAACAATTAGTTGTCTTTTGCCGTTGAATAACGTACTTATTTTTTCCGAAGTAAGGTCCCATGGTGGTCCACCGGAAGGGGCGGGGCTTATGTTCTCTAAAGTGAATTTTAAGTTAAATACCATTTTTTAAATTCTGTCAAATTCTGAGTTATGTAATGAACTTACTTTAAACCAAACCACAAAGCTTTCCTAAACCTAACCAAACTGCGAGTGTTTCACAACATTAACCATGCGTTTGATGTCATGTGACTACAATAATAATAATAATAATAATGAAAGTCCAGTCGCTGAACTGGTACAAGAAACGCTCGTATTTGTTGTTCTGGGAGGCATCGACAAACAAACTTAATCTGTCCTTTAGGTTTGTTTTTACAGATAAAACAAGATATAACGTGTTCAGGGTCGCAGTTTCTAAGCTAACATGAGCAGATGCCGGATTACCAAGGGAGGTAATTATTTTACAGGGACCCCAAACATGTCCCGTGTGTTATCTTATATTCTGAATATGTACTGTTTAGTATCTGGACAGAGCTGTAAATGAAGTTGGTCCCAAATAACCACCAGGAGCCGTTACCAGGATGGCTGCCGAGTGGCGGGACTTCGGCTAAGCTAACTGGCTGTAGCTTCATATTTAGCGAACAGCCAAGAGAGTGGTTTAAATCTGAATATCTGACTCTCAGCAGGAAAGTGATTCGACGTGTTCCTTCAACACGTTCACACTGCGAGCAGCTGAGCTACTTGTGAACGAGTCGGCGTGAGAGGACAGGAGTGATTCTGTGAAAACAGCATCAGAGCATCCCTAAACCCAGAAACCAGGAGCCTGCTAACGGTGACTTCTGGTGGCGGCGGCGGCGGCAGCGCAGGATCTTCAAACAGGGAAGCAGCAGATAAGAAGCCAAAGTTATTTCACCATTTACTGGATTAATAGACTTTTAGAATAATCGCCAACCTTCAACATTATTTGATGACACAAACCCAATATGGGTAAAATTCATAGCAACGTCTTTTTTATCTTGTTTTTTATATATATATATATATTCACACACACACGAAACATAAACCTGCTGCTTTCAGACCATGTTGCATTTTCGCTGCCGGAAACGACTCTGAAATCTGACGACAAATACTATTTTTTTTTAAAATTACAAAAATCAAACATGTGGAAGAGCAAAGGCGCCTCAGTGCAACTGCTCGTTAAGCCCCGCCCTCTTTAGTTCCTGCTGCTACGCCAGTCCATCTTTCTAACAGTTTAAAACGACAACGCCGACAGATTTCGAGAATGTTGTAAATGTGATCTTGAATAAACACTCGATGCTAAACAGACTGAAGCTAATGCTAACAAAGAGGCAGCACTGTACTGCAGTGGAGAGCGAGTTAGTCCCGGTGAACTGATTATTACATTAACAGCTTGTTCTCAGCTGTAACGTGGAGCTGCCTCAAACATGAGATGTGACGACACACCTGCTTAGATTCTAGTTTTACTTATTTGTTTTTAATCTCAATTCTGTTATTTCGATATCGTGTCTCCTTCCACTGTGAAGCGTTTTGTGACGTCTGACCTGAAAACATGTTTTCTCAAACTGACGTGTTTGGCGGCCGTATCTGTCTCAGATTTACACTACAGGACAGAAGTTTTAGTTTTAGCAGCAGAATAACCAAAAGAAGGTAAAGACAATGTTCAGGTCAGAAAAACTGAGAAATAATGTAAATTTCAGAGATTTAGAAGTAATGAGTTAATAACTTCCAGTTATTCTGCAGCAGTGGAAGGAAAGTAAACTCATGTCTACAGTAAACACCTTGGAGCAGCCTGTTAATTCAAATTACATCTATTATATATATATTAATGAGGGAAGACAGAGACGCTGGTCATCAGTTGATCCTACCGTGACATAATGAACAAAACATCTTCATTTAGTTGTTAAATTTAGATCTGAAAATGTCTTGTTTTGATGGCGTAAATGTTGTTTTTAACTTTTGCTGCTGACTTTGGTTCTATTTAAGGTTTTTCACTGAACTTTAGCTGCTCACATTTACAGAAGAACTACAAACATGGCGGCTGTTCTAAAACGTCTGACAGGTAGAGTTAATAAAAAGATCCGGACAGAGCTGCTAACGTTAGCTTAACGTCTTTCCAACACAAGAACTCATCACTTGCACTGATTTTCCACCTGAGCATTGTTTAGTTTGATGGAGCTGAAATGAACGGGACACAAACAAATTACTGAAAATCACCAAAGCAGCTTCCCGAAGCTGAGCAGTGACGACCCCACACCCACAGAGCAGGAAAACTTTATCAGGGTCAATATATAATAACACCCCATATCAGACTACACCACCTGTATCCAGGAACAGACACCTGAATGCGGCTCATCAGCCTTATTCAGACGCACACATTAATCACTCGTTCATAAGCAAAATATTTCACTGTTTTTTGGCTCATTTTGATAAATCGAGTCGAGATTTTTAAACTGTTTGTTTGTTTTTGGGTGTTTTCAGTGTTTCACGTGGAGTCTGGGAGGAGCAGCCAACGCAGTGTGGAAGCTAAAGCCACATTTATACTTCTGCGTTGAAGCTACGTCGCAGCCTGACTGCACCTGCCCAAAAATGTAACTACACGTCAGGGCGACGCAGAAGTGCGATTGGTCGGCTTGGCGGCATTTTCTCCAAGCAAACAGGAAGTGCTCTGTGCTTTGAAGCCAATTTTAGTAGCGGCCAAACCAGCGGCTATAACAAGATCAATATTTGTGAGCGTCACAATCGCAGAGCAAGTTTTTTATAGTTTCTCTATGATTAGGTTTTTATTTTTGTTTCGTTTTGACTTTCAGTTAATTTGAATTAGTCTTTCAAGCAGGTTTGCCAGTTTAGTTTATTTTTTGAAAATGCTCAGTTTTAGTTTAGTTAGTTTTAGACTTTCTGCGTGGACTAAAAAAGAGACTGGATTTCATATCCACCAAAAAAAACTCGGCTCACGTCGGCTCTGTGACATAAAAAGACGTTTATTTCGGCGAGTTTTTCAAACAGATGGTAACGTTTCAGTAATTGTTTTTTTCCCAAAGGCTTGTTTTTATTTTA